AGGCACATACCTGGCTGAGGGTACGGCTAGGATATCACGCTCCAGATACCAAATACACAGATTTATCTCAAACCACAAAGCTGAATTTCAGAAAGCTCAAACAACCCTAAAGCCTTCCAAGTTAGATATACTGTATTTCAAGTAGCATACCTTGTGATATATATCTTCTCTACAAGGCTTCAATTGCTCAGATTTAGATCTGCAGAGTGTCAGTGAGGGAAGCAGAACGCTAGCATTTCTCGTCACTGTACCTGGTTACAGTTCCTCCAGACAGGGAGGCCCCCAGCAGTTCCCTACCCCAGTAGGTACATCAACAAGTCTATAAAGCATTCTGCAGTCCATCAGGATGGAAACAATTCCATAACAAGAAGCTAAAGATGATCTGAGCTACCTGCAATACAGTCCATGGCTCCCTGTGTCTCCTGGAGCTGATTAGCTTTGGCAGAAATACTCAGGTTGGGGAAACAACAGCTCACAGCAGGCCAGGCTCCTTCAGGATCCAAATGCTTGAGTGAAGCTGTTCCATCAGGAAGGGACGCTGCGTGACTATCAGCTGCATCTTCTCAGCTATGGCAATGTAGGTCACTGCTCATAAATCAGAGGTAAACTTCAGGCAGAGTCGCAATGCTCTGCTGTGTGTTGAATGGGAAATGGGCTTCCATAGAGATCAGTCAAAAGTAGGAGCAGTAAATTGACTACACTTTTTTATTAGAGTCAAGGATAAAGGAGAATGTGGTAGACTCAAGGTTATGTTAGACATCTACGTCTGCTGGAATCTAGTTTGTGTTTTGCCAAGGCTTGTTTGCATAGCAGAGTGACTCACAGCAAATGAGGGTGAATTTTCCCTGTGCTTCCATTACAAACCAAGTATGTTCACATACAGAGAAGTTGCTATACAATAAACTCACTCACCAGTTTATTGCATTGTAATTTCCTTATGCAGACAAGCCCTAAAGCCTTGATAGAAATAGGCTTACCTTTGTCTGTTATGAATAGCAGACTCGTGAGAAGCTGGATGTAGAACAGAGAGAAAAGGCACAGAATTATGAATGGCTCCTAGCTCAGTGTACGCACTTCCTACTGACAAGGGAATACGTGCGTCTGGTATGCAGCTCTTTGTAACTTGGTTTGGCCAGCAGCTAGAGCACAAAAATGTCACCTTGGTCCCTCTGTGAAAGAAGAGCTCCTAGAGGCATTAAGAGAATGCTCGGAAGAACAGGGATGCAGCAGGCATTTGTTTGCACACAACTGTAAGAAGCAGCACTGTTCACAATCTTGAATCATGTCAATATGTGGTCACCAAAGGCCACATTTTTCAGGTGGCAGCTGTCAGAGATTCCCTCGCATAAATGCCAGTTACATAACAGATTAACCATCCAAAATGCTATAGAAACTCAGATTCACCCACTGGTGTGAACAGGACGTAGAGGAAGCAAAGAAGGTCACAGACATCCTAACAAAACTTGCACGTGAGTGCACATTTGCAGGGCAGGAAAGCAATTCAGCAGCAGGACCTACGCTTCCAAAAAAATGATTTCTCTTTTCTATCGGGGTCCAAAAAAAAGAAATTGCACAGATTTCCACTACCCACTCTCCTTTTCCTTCCACACCCTCCTCTCATTGGCATGAGATAAAACCTCGGGGAAACAGCAGCAGCAATTTTCAATTCTCATTATCTAACGGCAGCAGTAGCTCTCGGTGAAACTTGTGGTCAATAAACTACAGGCAATTTTAAAAGACACAATGGGAACTGCCCCTCCCGCAGCTGTCCCATTATCCCAGCTTTTATTAGATTTAAAACCAGCAATTCTTATGCTTGCCGAAGTTCTGCAGAGCCACAGAAACAGACCACCAGGAAAGATAAAACACTCCTAAATTGAACAGGAGGCATTACAGCAACATGCCCTGATGTCAGAGGGCTTAGACATAAGCAAAGTTCAGGTAGCAGGGAGCAAGCCAGAACCCATGAGAACACAAACAAAACTTAACATTCAGAACAAATAAACAGCAAAGCTAGTAAGCATGCTAGATAGGGAATGCTGTGAGCAGATGAGCAACTAGAAGAGGATCACTCCAATAACATCCAACTATAGGCACCAAAAGTTGGAGTTGATGGCTTTGGTGTGCCTAAGCAGTAGAATAGTCACTCATAGGTGGCAATTCCACTGGCCTCCTTTAGAGTACTGTTCTAGGGTGTGATGCACCATGCTCTTGTACTGCCTATTTCTGTCCCCTGACGAGCAGAAAACATACAAAAGTAGTAACAGCATTTACACCTCTATCATGCAGTACAGCAACCTGCTCCAGCAGGAGGGCCTATACAGGAAAGGAGAGCAAAAAATAAAATTTCCAAATTTCAGAAATTATTACCTGATACATTTCTGTGGGGCAGAGGTAATTGAGACTGTATCTCACCTCCTGGATGAGAAATGTGCACAGCAACAGGCAAAGGGAAATGGGTGCCCAAAGGAATGGTCTCAAAGCAACACGGTAAGGGGGAAGATGCAAGGAATTACAGTCATCCACTATAAGCTGTAATTTTAGCCTAGAAATCTAGAGCTTGCTTTCTGAGCCTAATGTATCCATGCCTTGGAGACATTTTACCAGCCATCAAGAAGAACTTGTAGAGAACCAGATGCTTCATTAAAGAATATTCACCAAGCCTTATAAAATCTTTAGTATAAAGCAGAAGAACAAATCACCAGCATACCAGCGAGCTGAAGTCCCACATCCAGCTTTGAATATAACATCTTTCTATAATAGCAAACAAATTCTGTTTAAAAGAAAAAAATAACCAAGAAATCAAGGGATTGTGACCCCTCTTTCCCACATTCCTCCAACCCAAATGAGGAATGCGTGAGACGAAAAACCATTTGGTAATGCTGCTGCTAATTTAAACTTAAAGAAAAATAACAGCTTAAATAGCAAAGGGAGGAGGGAGTTTTACAGTCCAGGAAAAAGCACAACAGCTTGTGATTGCTACATATATATCTCAGGAGCCAGAGGAAGCAGTAAGAGCATCGAGGCAAATTGTCAGGGCTTGAGCTGTCCTCGGATAAGAGAAAATACAGGATGTTCTGCCTTGCACACATCTGATTTGGGTTTGCACTTGCAGAACCCTCTCGTGCCTGTATCCAGCTGCAAGGTTCAGCTACCTGTGCCTCAATGTCTCTTCCCCCTTCTGAAAGCACAGCAAGGAGATTCACGCACACTGCCATCACCCACAGCAAGTTCATGTCCTATGCACTGCTTCTTCTGAGAACTTACCAAAAGAATGGGGAAAAAAAAATTCTCTGAACACTCTGGAAACTAAGGCCACCTCTCCAAGTTCTTTGGTTTTTAAAAATACATACCAAGAAAAACCCACACTACACAAATCTAAGCAAGCTCCAAGTTAATAGGATCTTTCACTGCCCTCTGCTGTTACCAGTCATTTAGCTTCCCATTTACTCTTTAATAATGCTGGGCTGGGGCTCAGGGCTGGCAGCATCCCAGCCCCTTCCTCAGGCGGCTTGGAGCCGCAGCTTGCAAATATGCTGAAGTTTAATGCAATCTGTCTTCTTTGGTAATCACATTCCGCCCGCACTGCATGCAATAAAGATGTATTGGTAAATGCATTTGCTAAAGATATACTCCACCAAAAAGGCTGCGAGCCTGATTTACAGGAGGTAAGGAGGAAGCGTCAGGTAGCAGAGGCTGGCAGCGGATGCACCGGCACTGCGCACAGCAACAGAGGGCACGGATTGTGCAGCAGCAAAGGCACTGCTTCACCTTAGAGCTAAGAAAGAAAAAGAAACCACATGTTTTGGGAGCTGGGGGCTTTAAAGATAGCAGAGAAAAGCCCTTTCCCTGGCAGCTTTAACCTTGCTGATTTGCAGACATACAAAGACCTTCTTTGTAAACAGGAAGGAAAAAAATTCCACCAGGAGTAGCAACAACATTTGGTCTAATATATCCTGACAATTTTCCCATCTCCTTCTGTCGGGCTTCTTCTGGGAGCCGGCTGGCAGCTTGTTTCATGTTATACTTAAATCAGGCATACAGCACAATGCTAATGCAACAGAGAAAGACTGCTTCTATGAAATCTCCACCTCCCCCCACCCTCCGCTTTCACATTAATAATCCCAAGAGAAGAGTCTCAGTTTTCTGCTCCCAGAAGGCTCCATCCCTTCCCCAAACCCACCCTACTATAGTCTCGAGTCCCATTAGAGATTTTATTTTATAACCAAAAAAAGAAGTCTGCCCTCGAGGGACATCTGACCCACTGAATTCTCACGTGGGGAACAACATCCTTTACACTCCAGACATCACTGTATGTCTTATCACACATTTCCCAAGACCATATCCTAGTTGTGATATCCAAACGCTTCCTTTTTCCTTTCTCCTTCGCCTGCTTTCAAAGTCACAGATTCTTCCAAGGTGCTCAGCACTCACTGTCCTAAGGAATCAAAAGAAGCTAGGAGTGCTCTGCATCTCTGGAGGCAGAGCCATAACAGCTTGTTGAACCTCTGCACAACACAAACACCTTTTAGAGGTATGCAGGTCCCTCAAGAATTAAGTAGCTTTGCTACTTAACAAGTGCAGCCATGAAAAAAAAAGCAAGACTGATAATTGTGAGGTCCCATAATGGAAGCAGAAATGCCCAAAATGTCACTAATATTGGCAAATAGATGTAACTACCATTTGCAGAACACAGCATCCAAGAAGGTGAAACGTAGGATAACTGATTTTGAAGCTGAGGAGTATCCACACTACTGCTTTGGGGGCAGCTCAGCACCATAGGGACACTGGTGGGAAGGAAGCTGGGACATACCACAGTGAGACTGGGCAGCACTGGATCAATGCAAATAGACAAAAGTACATCCTGAGGAAAACTTGTCTCCTATAAACACCCCATCTTACCTGGAAGATACCACAGATCCCAGAGATATTTCCCAGAAGAAAACACTACGCAGAACAGTCAGCAAAGCCAGCAAGTATAACAGGGAAGCTTTTATTACCTTCTGAGCCGCACTAACGCAGCGCTGATACTCCTTAGCCAGCTCCGAGCATTTGAGCACTTCACGTTGGTTTTCTTGATAGCACTTCAGAATTTCAGACTGCAGACTTGCACAGACAGGATCAACGTTCCTCCTCCTGTGGGCAAAACGAGAACAGAAAGATGTGCAAAGGGGAGTTTTCAGCCACTGACTACCACTTGACTAGTGGCACACACTAATCTTGTGTTGGAGTCACTTAGCCCTAAAAAATAAAGAAACCAGGAGGAGCAGCAATCACCAAAGTGGGTTAAATGATGTCTTCCAGCTGAAAAATCCAGAGTACTAAGCAGAAAGATGGAATGTATTCTTACTAGGTCAGTATGGGAGGTTTTTAGTTTTACCCATAGATGAAATACCGTGTCTCCTCCACAGTTCAGAAGAATCAATTCCAAGAGGTTCAATGATTTCTCCAAGTCACACTGGAAATCTTTGATAAAACTCAGGAATTCTGTCTGGGCCAGCACCAGATCTATAACAGGCTGACAAGGAACTGAATGGGCTCATTGAATGAGCTACCTCTACCTACTGAATTCTCATCTATTTAAACATTAAAAATATATATATCCAGCATGGTTGTGAGTACTGTAGTTCTCCTAGTAACTAAACAAAACAGAAAAGGGAATAATATCAAGACCAGGTATCTGCTTCTTTGTATTTCTGAAGCAATTAGCACTCACATCCCACAAGCAGCACTGACAGCTACTCATGAACAATTACAGATGATGTTCTCAGACTATCATGTGCATGGGTACATATGGCACATCTTCAGCAACAGTACCAATAACAGGAAGGTCATTGTAAAATAATCCGAGCCACAATGGCACAAGCACAGTAACAGCAGTGTCATCAGCTGCACAGAAAGGCAGGCACAAATTGCAGGAATTTGCAGCACAATTGCCACAGTACATTTCAGCAGAGAACATGTGCTGAGGAGTAGCAGCACTAAGACACTGCCTTCTAAATCATAAATCCACTTAATTCCTTGCATTCTCTGCCTCAGCGTGCTTAAAGAGATCTGTGCTAAAAGATCAAATGCACCTCTTCTTTCCAAAGCACCTGATGTTATGGGGAAGCACAAATGCTATACTGTGCTACGTTCATTTCCACAGTAACAACAGTCACTCGTTCAAGCAATAGGGTTTCCCAACCAGGTACAAAGAAAATGTGACCTATTCCTGGACAGCTTTCATTCTCTCTCAGGTGAGAGATTTCTAAGAAACGTGACATCTTGAAGCCAGATCATCCGAAAGCATTTTGGAGACCACAAATAGGAATTTCCAAATCACGTTCATTTTGGTAAGGCACTCAGGAAGGCAAGTAGAAACAACAAAAGAAAATCAGCAACGCCATTGCTTCCTCAAAATAGTTTGGTTGAGACATACTCCAAACAATACCTCTGCCCTCAGTCGTACTCTGCAACGTACAAATGAGCAGGCAGTGGAACAACTGCCCAGCAATGTGGTTCACATCCCATTCCTGCAGGCTTTTGAGGCAAGGCTGGATCAGGCCCTGGGCAACTTGATCTAGCTGTGCGTGTCCCTGTTCATTGCAGGGGACTTGGACTAGATGGCCTTTAAAGGTCCCTTCCAACTCCAAGGATCCTATTGATTCTAGCAACAATGTGACAGCCAAGCTTAGAAACACTTGGATCAGAAAGCCACCAAAATACAACACAAACTTCTTTCCCCTGTCTTCTCTAACCCTATAGCTTTTAGAAGAAACTTGTTTTGTATGCAGTCCCCAGAGGTGAGCATGCATTAGTAATTTCTGTGTTCCATAGAAAATTACCTTTAAAGCCTCTGAAAAATCCATATTCCAAAAAAAATCTTCAAATTTTGGAAAAGAAACCAGAGAGAGCATCAAAAACTCATAATATCGGCATTTTGCTTTGTCACTAACTTTAATATCACTCTAATCAAATCAGTGAGACTGTAGAAACGATACCAAACAATACCAGGTCAGGAAATACCATCAAATCCCTCAATTCATTGAAGAAGTTAAGACTTTTAAAATTAGGTTTTTCCAACTCAGCCATGTTAAACTGAAGGGCATTTTGTAATTTTCAGGCAGAGGGCTGGGGGAGGGAAAAGGCAGAACGTGTCACAGCATGGTCTGAACTCACTGGAACCAAACTACACGACACAAGCACAATGCAGAAACTCCAGCTATGCATCAGTGGTACCACCTTCTCAAAAGAGATTTAGAGAATCTAGTCAACATAGCACAAAATCAGCTGACGTAATTATCAACACAAATCCCACAAATCCATTTATGAGCGCATCCACAAATGAACTGGAAATTCAACAAAACCAGCTAAATCCTACAGAGGATGACATCTCACTTTGGAGCAGGAAGGCAGTGCTGCTCAGAGGAGTGTCCCTGCAGCCCACGGCGTGGTGTGACCTGTGAAATGACAGGAAACGTGAGCCCAGCCCAAGGGAGCACATCCTGCACACTGCAGGAACCCAAGTCCAATGGAGCACGCCTTGGCTGAGGGCAGCGGTACACTGAATTCCAAAGGAGGGAGAGCTTTGTCAGCTACACCCCCATTCAACCTCAGCCCAGCACAAGGCTATAGGCAGTACTCAACCTTCAGGAAAAAATCGTCTTCTGGACACTGCTCTTGGTAAATGCTTTGCTGCTGGAGGGGAATGCTTTACACACTGAAGGGGAAAGAACATGGTGGAGAAGGAATGAGGTCTGAATGCAGAAAGAGCAGAAGAATAGTAAGCTTTGACCTTTCTTCTAAAATGGGTCACAGTTTCAAGCATAATATGCTACCACCAAGAAAGGTAGGCAATTAGCCTCTGTCTAAAATAAAACGCACTGCAATTGTTACTGCTATTACGAAAACAGATGCAGGAGGCTCATTTACAGCAGCTAAAAAACAGGGGGGGGGGGGGGGAAGAAAAAGGTCTGAACAGGAAGGCTAGGAAAACACCCACAGACAAGGAACTAGAGGAGTTGAGCTCTGACAACACCCCAGATATAAATGCAGGGCATACGAAATATGAAAGATTAAAACAATAATACACAAGCAAGGAAGAGGAAAGGAGAAAAGATTACAAGTGGGGGAAAAAAGGATTAATCTAGAAATAAAACTCATTAGCAGTGCCTCCCCAGCCACAGTGGAGAAAATCCTCAGCTTCTCTGCTGTGCAATGGGACAGAGGGCTACGTATGCACAAAAGCCACAATTTCAGATTTTCTTCTCCCTCTCTCACTGAAGGATCTAAAATCAGGTCTTTGGCTGGAAAAGAAGGGATAGGTTTTCTTAAAATGAAACAAAGGGCATCCTTCTCCCTGCCATCCCTTGAGGTAAGACGGAACGAATGTGATCTTGCTGCATTTTGACACAGCGAGAGTTACCAAATCCTCTCTATCACTGCGTATTCCCTTTACTTTATTTAACAAATGAAATCTCATCAACTTATCCTTCTTCTATTATCACTGCTGACATCAATCTGATAATATTGGCTTGGTGTGGAATCGTGCTATTATATGTCCTCTTTATATTTAATTTAAGAGAAACGTCTGCAGTGGGGTGAATATGTGAAGCAAGCTTTTTATTACTGGCAGCAGTAAGGACGCTGGGAGTGAATTAGACATTCATCTTAGTCAGGGCCAATCTAGTGGCTCAGAAGAGGTTTTCTTCTTAACCCTCTCCTAACTGTTCAACAGCAGCAGGTAACGGCTGCTCCAGTCAATAAGTGCATTCATTTGTCTTGGCAAATTCACTTCTATGTGGATATAAACCCCATGAAGAAGTGCTGAGCATCTGGGAGGTTAAAGCAAGGTTCTTCCAGAATTTCCATCATAAGTGCCGCAGTAGTGAGTAGAGTGCTGGTCTAAATGTCCATCAATTAATCAAGGAGCCACACGGCTCTCAAAGACAAACACACAAACTTATTTCAAGAACCAATTTAAGGCAGTATCATCAGTACACAGATCCCACAGGCAGGCTTCAAACATAGCACAATGGCTACCAGCTCGTTGCTGCTGACAGCTTCCCCTTTTGGAAGGAGAATTATGGGCTTGGTATTGCAAAGCGAGGGAAAGCTGGAAGATGTGTATGCATTTGCTACTATTTCCACCCTGATGAAAAAAATCAGACTAGCCAAGAAGAGATAGAACTTGAAAGCTTTAGGACTTGACAGCTCCTTAAACTAGTCCAAAATCCACAGTGAGCACCACGCCGTCACTTGGCTTTACTGGGTAGAACAGCAATCCCAGATGGAATTAGAGGCAAGATTCTCTTTCTACCTTTTACTCTGGGAAACCATTCAAGCTGAAAAAAAAACACTTAGGACAGAGACTGAAGGTATCTAAACCTAGACATTTAGATACTTCTACTCAAAGCGAAAAATCAAAGATACCCAAGGTTTCTTGTACAAGCCAACTTCAGAATAGCTTGCTTCAGTACAGAAGCCACTTAAATGGCGCAGCAAACTCAAATTTCCTGTGGGCTGCAGAACCCAATAACCAGATTAACTACTTTCTGCTGCACTATTCGACTGCAACCAGTGTCAGAGCTAACTTGAGCAAACCACATTAATCACCACCATAACTACAGCGCAGCCAGCCTCAGAGGTCAGCAATGAAGTGCACGGGCTGCACTGAGAGCAAAGCCCAGGGCATGCAGCAGCAGTTTCTGTGTCGGAAAGGAATCAGAGATGTGTCAAATAGTTGGTTAGCATGGTTGTATATCCAGGGCACACCAGATGTATTTCAGACTAAGCTCAGCAATGTTTGGTCACATGAAAGTGGTGTGCTGCACTGTACATATACAAAACTGCTAAGTGGTTAACTGACCTGTAAAACTGCACGCTCCCTTGGGTAGCAGTTGGCTCTGATGGTTCCTCTTTAACATGTCAGGAAAAAAATTCCAGACAGATGCAATACACAGCATACAGAAAGGTTCCATCCTCTCTCATTACTGCATCCTTGACATTTACAGCAGAAAATTAAACACAATTGAAGCATTTCATTCACATATAACAAACTCATCAGCACAGAACAAACAGCCAAGGAAGCCAACTTCCATTGCAGAATGCTGTGCTATCACAGAGCAAAAGCTACTGCCTATGGGATTCCCTGA